CGTGTGCTCTTCCGATCTTTAATCGGCCATTTTGAATCGGCCATTTTTAAATAAAATCACTATTTTTTTAAAAATAGCCACATAATTCATCTTTAGGATGAGCCCAGAAAGAAGTCTATATCTTTATTTTTCTGGAAGATATGAATTTTTAAACATTGGGGAAAGAAGCTTCAACGCCGGTAACACCGCAATTTTAAGATAGGAAACTAATCATTTGTAATATTTAAATTGTTAAGTTTTTGAAAATTGAATAATTATTATTTTTACCTTATTTTTAAAATGGCATTCTTCAATGCATGATATTCTATCCAGATTCGTGAAGCAGCGCAAGCTTTGCTGCTTGCCGAGTTAGGCAGGATGGGCTCAAAGGGTCGCAAAGCACTTGTCGATAACTGGTCACAGTATTTGCCAATGTATAGCACTCAGGAACCGATTGCGCCGCAACCGCAGAGTCAAACTTCGCCGGCGGCCGGAAGTCCGGTACCACCGTCCGAGTCGCAACCAGAGGAAGAAGATGAAGAAGAGGAATTAGCCGAAGGTGAGCCCATTAAATCAAGCTTTCACCTAAACAAATAATAAGAAAAAGATGTGATGGAGATTAACATACATACATACATACCATACGTACATACATACATACCATACATACATACATACATACATACATACATACATTGTGTGTGTTGAGAATAAAATTAAGAGTAAAAACTAATTTTTCTCGAAATAGAATTAAGTTTAGCTAGGAAGCCATCGAGCGTGGCGGAATTGAAACGAAAACAAACGACGGCGGTGGTGCTGCTGGGCGTGATAGGGGCTGAATTTGGTCAAGATGTAACTACTACAAATCAAAGAAGGGACAACGAGCAAAGACGGAAGAGCTCGATTGTCGAAGGCTTTGGCATAGGAAATAATAATCTCGCCAGACATACCAGCATGGCGCTCACTCATTTATTGCACGCGCCTCATTCTCCCAAGTTACCGTTGCACACAGCGTTACGAAGAGCCGCGATTGATCTTATTGGTAGAGGATTCACCGTGTGGGAACCTTATCTCGATGTGTCCAAGGTGAGAAAAGTAGTCTGAAGAAAATGTTATATTTCATTGTGCGATATCTCTTTTTAGATTTACATTTTATTTTGTGCCGTTGTTTAAATAAATTTTGCTAAGATATTGATAATAAAATATTACTATTGTCGAATAAGCTAAATTGAGTTTATTGTAAAATCTCGTTTTATGTTTATTATATATATACATCAAGTATAAATGTGTGTGTGTGTGTGTGTGCGTGCGTGCGTGCGTGCGTGCGTGCGTGCGTGCGTGCGTGCGTGCGTGCGTGCGTGCGTGCGTGCGTGCGTGCGTGTTGTATGAAATTATCTCTGTTATTTTTAACGATAAAATTTTGAATCCTGTTTCTTAATTGCATAGGTTCTATTAGGCTTATTGGAAATGTGCTGCGATGCTGACAAGTTGGTGCCGAGTCTGACATATGGCCTTCCTCTCACGCCGCAAGCCGACACTTGCCGCACGGCACGTCATGCTTTAACACTAATCGCTACCGCTAGACCAGCCGCTTTTATCACCACGATGGCTCGCGAAGTAGCCAGGTTTAACACTCTCCAACAGAATGCTCAGACCTTGAACGTCAATCTGGGTGCAAGTGTCTTGACCAGGGCAAAACCAGAGATTCTCAGGATTGTCGAACAATTAATTG